TTTTTAGATACTATTGTGGCAGGTGTATCTGAACCTTTCTTGTTTAAGCCCTGTGTACATGGGGAGAAATGGAATGGTATTCTTAACTTTCTTGAATTTTAAAAATTAAAAACAAAACACAAAAAGTCTCTTGAAAAGAGTGATCGAAGTGAATGACTGATTAGTAATCAAGTCATTATCAAGTGTCTTCATTGTTTGCTAGCTGCAAGAATCGTGTTCGATGTCAAATGGCTTTTTTTTTTAAAGATTTTATTTATTCATTTGAGACACAGAGATAGAGAGAGAGAGAGAAAGCATGAGCAGGGAGAGAGGCAGAGGGAGAAGCAGGCTCCTCGCTGAGCCAGGAGCCCGATGTGGGGCTCGATCCCAGGACCCTGGGATCATGACCTAAGCCGAAGGCAGTCGCTTAACCATCTGAGCCACCCAGGCGCCCCGATGTCAAATGGCTTTTAATTTCTCCATGTCACTCTCCCAGACCCTCCCTAGACTCAGGGAGGGAAATGCTTCTTACAATGCCAAATCCAGATAAAATGAAACATGGAAGTTGTGCCACATGTTGCAAAAAGGAAGAGCTTTTGGAATCCACGAGTTTGAATCTCAGCTCTGTTGCTTACTATTGTAGCCTTAGACAAAAGACTAATTTTAAATTGATAAAATGAAAGTAGTAATAATTGATTTTCAGGATAGCTGTGAAGATGATGTGCCAAGTGCTCAGCACAGCTTGGCTCATTTGGACACTGCAGTTGGTATTTATCTTTCTTTTTGGCTGTCTGCATCTATCCCTCCTTCTTATGTGTGTGGTGGTCCTCTCATTGAGTATGGTAATGGTGGGGGCACTTCAGCACCTGGGGAAGCCAAGAAAGGAGATTAGTCTCCACCATTGGATCCAGGCAGACCAATCAGATGCACACACGTGATTGATAGGATTAAGTGATACAAAAATAAGAAACTGTACTCTCTCAGGGTACCTGAAGTAGGGTCTGATGGTGGCAATGGGGCTTTCAGGGAGAGGGGACATCCTTGGCCAGACTTGTCCAAGCAAAAGGATGCTTGCTGGGCTTGCTACGGAACTTCCCAAACTAGCTTGGTTCTTGCTTGACTTCCAAATCTGATTTTCCAACCTCCAACCTCCTCAAGTCTGTGTGCCCTTGGTATCCTCCTAATTAGGTGCTTATAAAATTTTTTTTAAGATAGCCAGATGCCATTTAGGTTGCTTGAAAACAATAAATGTTAAATCCCTTGCTCATTTTTTTTTTCTCTCCCACCTCTCCATTTTTGTTTCTATGAATTGCTGTATACTGTTTCTCTTAGCCTAGAATTCTTCTGTGAAGTGTCTAATTTGGGTTCCTTCTCAAGTTTTTCTGCACCAAAGTGTACTGTTTATAATCTAATTGATGTTTCCTGAGCTCTGCTTGGAACTTACAACATGAATGAATGTTCTTTTATAAACAATACCCTCTTGACTCAAATTCTTCCCCTTTCCCCTCCCCAAAATGCACACACAATTAGACCAGTCCTATTATTATTTATCTGTGGTTTTCTTGACTCTCTAACATAGCTACTTTCTCTCTTTTTTGGGGGTGGGTGGGTAGGTATTTACTTTGCGTCAGGCACTGTGTCAAATGTTTTCTAACTGTGGCAGAGATTGCTGGCTGCCCACCCAATATCCATTCTCTCCCTTTTCCTCAACAACAGAACCTCTAAAGTGCCTAACACACACACACACACACACACACACAGACACCAACTTCTCTTGAAGAGCGCCCGTCCACCGCATTTTACATGGAAGTTGTTGGATAAGGCTTCCAAGAGAGTTATTTTAAGGGACCGGACTCAGCGGCAAGGTGCTACTTTTGCCCTTTCTCCCTTCTTTCTCTTGTTTAAACATGAGTCAATCAGAGTCCAGAGTTCCGACAGCCATTCTGTCACCATAAGGAAGTCCTGAAGGTGAAAGCCTATATTAAGGATGCTGGAGCAAAAAATGAGAAGCCTGCTGGGTCACTGACAAAAACATGGAGCTGCAGTACCAGCTATAGACCATCTACCTCAACTATCTTCATGTTGAGTGAAGAAAAAAAATCTAATTTATTTAAATTTCTGCTAATTTGGTCTCTGCGCAAGCAACTGAAAACACTCCTTTACCAATACATAGATAATCATGCAAAAATTCTATAGGGTTCGTTCTTTTGTCCATTTTACAGGATGTGAAGTCTTAGGCTAGCTAGTTATGTAACTTGCCTGAGTTACTCATTCATTGGACAGATCTGGATTGAACCAGTAGCACATGAATCAGCATTTGAAAGCAGTGTTTGAGAACAAAGACTAGATACCTAATCATTACATTTTACTGTCTCTGAGTTGAGCATGCCAGTAGAATTTTAGACGAATGCAATTTGTGGACCTTCTTGGGTAGGTGTGACTGCTGGAAATTTTCTTATTGGAACAGATCCTCAGGATGTTCTTTCTTCTCTTTCATGCCCTGTCCAGCAAAAGGCATGTTTTTTGCCTTCGACTAAATTGGTCTGATGGCCAACTTTGCATGGAAGAGATATTTCTTTTTCTTTTCTTTGAATGTAAAGTTCTAATTCCTTGGAACATTCCTAGGGGAATCTGTTGTTGAGATGAAATCAACTTCCAGGAAAGTGTGTGTCACAAAGTAAGTGCTCAATAAAAGTTGAATGGATTTATGAATTAATGAATGCTGTTCTCACAGCAATTTTCCCTGGGACACTGATTTCCCAAGCTCTTTCTTAAGAGCCATTTTTGTGTCCTGCCTTGTTGTGAAAAGTAGAAGCTTCTTTGTGAGGAATCCTGACTGCCTAGGCGCAGTCTGGTTCCTACAACACCGACTAACCTATCTTTGTACTCTCTAAGGACACTTTTTTTTTTTTTTTTTCTGAAAGGTTTTGGTGAAAAGCTCTTATTACAGATTGTGGAAAGAGTTTTTGCTAACTCATGCAATCCAGTGTAGAAACTGGGCAGAGGCTCTGTAATCATAGAAGCTACATTCCAATCATGGTTCTGAAACTCCTCACCTCTGTATATGTGGGCAAGTTACTGAAGCTGAGCCTCCACTTGTCCATCTGTAAAAAGGGCACAGTAATAATTCCCATTCTTATAAGGATTATAGGAGGGAATGTATGAAAAGCATTTAGCAGAGTGCCTAGTTCACAGTGCATGTTTAAAGATGATAGCAACTATCACTAGTGAAAATACTCACTTCTGCTTAGAAGCATTTCTTAATTCTTCAGGTAGAATTAGCCATCTCCTTGGTGGTGGCTCCTTAATGCCCCATATCTTTCAAAGAACACAAAATATCTAAGAAAGTTTAGCTGGTTCTAAGCTTGTCTTACCTACACTAAATTATTCTGAGGGCAGGATTTTTCTTGAGATTACTAGTAACTGGCACAGGGAGAACTGCTCAGTAACTGAAGAATAAAAGAACCAAAGAATATGACAATATAACAGTATAACACTGAATATTGACATAACATTGAATATGACAATATAACAATGCCTTTGTTATAAGAATAAATATGAGAGTTGAGATAAGCCAGGTAAGCCTATTCATAGAGCAATTTCTGGTTTTCAGTCTAAGAAATTCTGAATGGTATATTCCCTGGTGGGAGCAGGGGAGAGGAGAGTGTGGGAGCGTTCCCTGGTCCAGGTGTGTAAATGGACATTTCTGCAATCCACTGTGGCCCAGCTGGTCCTGGTTTATCTCCCACAGGGAGATATATAATTTAGCAGTTGTGGACACTGGTCACTGTTCTGAGCTGGAGTAGAGAGGGTTCACTTATTATAATGCTAAAAGCAAAAAGAAAAACTTGCTGGAACATATAGTTCTTTCAGTAATTTTTAAATTGAGTTACCAAAGGTGAACTGAATTTCTCATTTATGTTTTCATCACTAGATCTCAGTCCTTTATCTGCTGAAACCAGATACAAGAGAGTAAGCTGGGAGAAGGGGTCTCAGAAACTTCATAAAATTTGTCTGCAGGGTCTTAACTATTTTTAATAACTCTAGTTGTAGGTATATTAGGAATAATCAGTTCTTACCTGAGAGCAAAAGTCTGCCCTGTCTTCACTGATAGGGCCGTAAACTATGCTAGGAAAGGAGGAAAAGTTAAACTATACCAGGAAAGCAGAGGAAAGAATTCACCTGCTAAGGAGCCATACTAGGCTCTGTGCAAAAATAAACCAGGAATTTTTTTTAAGCCCGTTGAGAGAGCTAGATTACAAATGCAGTTCCCTAATGTAGTTGTCATAAACGTGCTTTGAAATGCCATTAACTGATTGCTCCTATCATACCAACAGCCTAACTTAAAAGCTCCCAAGGGAATTTAACTTTAAACATAAAGCTTGTTAGAGGAACGATAAAAAAGCAGCATTTGCTGATTAAATTTAAATTTACAATAGGAACATGGTTGCAACCCAACTTCCACGGGCTTGCTGGAAGAAATACAGTGTTGAGAACGTTTTAGTCTGAACACCAAATAAATATTGGGCCTTTCTAATTCACCACCTCCTTCTGCTCACTAGCCCCCTGCCTTTCCCTTCTCCAAGCTGGAATTTTGCAGAGGCAAGAGAGGCTGAAATCGGATAGGGGAACAGGGATTCGCCTGTAGAACTCTGAAATGTCAAGGCGGTACTGAATGAATGGGTAGCGGATCCTGCTCACGGCAGCGGCCCCAAAATAGGTTCCCTGAGCTGGTGGCCTGGAGCAGGCATCATATTTAGCTGAGGGCTTCTGGGGCCAGATCGGATGCCGCGAGGTAGTTACTCCAAAACGCTGGACTCTGGGAAAGTCACAGGCCGAGGCTCACTCACCTGCCTTGCCTGGGAGAGCTGCTGGGGGTGTTCTCTGCCTCCTCCCACCCAGTCAAATCACCTACGCTCCCACACACTGTTCCCACCCCTTCCCAGCGAGGTCAAAGGAACCCTAGCCGTGGGTCAAGTCGATGGCATGCAGCCAGCCGCACGCCAAGTATTAATAAAGAGCCTTGGGCTGCAGGAGACTGGCGCTGGAGCCTCGGGTTGCAAAGTGAAAGGAGCGCCAGGCGTGTGTCCTTGGCTCTCCCACTGCCGTGGAGCGCGCCCAGCTGCTGCCGGGCACACCTGCGGGGCCCCAAGGGGGGCGCTGCCTCAGCAACTGCAGCCGCAGCCTAGACCGAAGGAGCCGCTCGGGGGACAGCCCGGAGTCGGGGAGCAGCGATGAGCAGCCACCCGGACCGCGAGTGCCCGCTGGACGGTAACGACTGGCCTCCGCGCGGCTGCGATTTTAGCCCTTAATCGCTCCCCACGCGGGTTTTTTTCTCTCACCGAAGCTGGTTGACCTGGGGGAAACGAGGCGGAGGGTTATTTCTCTGTAAGGCGCCGGGGGTGGGTAGGAAGTGTCCATCGTCGTGGATTTTTTGCATCCCTTTCTGCACCTTTGGGGGTTATTTTTAGAATTAAACAAGTTAACTTTTATGAAGCGCGGAGAGCCGCGCTTGCACAGGAATGGGCTTTGTGCAGGTTTGTTAAATGAAGTGCATGTCGGGGTTTTACTGCTCGGCGCGCTGCTGCGGGGATCCCTAGACCCCGTGGAAGGGCCTTCCCTGAAAGAAAGCTGATTTTGCTTCTACTTTGGGACAAGCACAGCACCACCCCTCCCACCTCCACCCTGCTACTCTACCAACAGGCGTTAAAAGAGGCTACCCTGATCTTACAGAGAGAGTGATGCCCTGAAGTGCTTAGGATGGGAGCCTGCAGGTGGGGGACTGGATGTTAGTTGTTTAAAGAAAGTGTTGAGCAGCAGAATTCCCCAGACAGATTTTATAACGCGGATGTCATTTAGTTCTATTGTCATATCATGATTACCAGCTTTAGCGAGGGAGGGTCTTAGATGGCTTTGAACGTGTGATGAAATACTGTGAACGTTGTTTCCGTGAAAACTCACCCATCCATAAACGTTTGGATGTTTGCCAAGGGTTTCACGCTAGACCCCTTACCTGCCCTCGCCGGCGAAGAGCCCTGCTTTGAAAGGTCATTACTATTGCTATTTAGGCATTTTCACGAACTAGTTAGTTGTTGACCTTTTAGGAGGAGCCCTCCTCCAGGAATAATTCCTCTTTGCATCAGTACCCTTTCGAATTGTACTGAACACGACTTAATGAAGCTGTGTTAAGTCGGAGCTCTCTGGGGGCTTGGGCTCAACAGGTGCGTCAGGTACCCTGGCTTGCGTTCCCTGCGGATCATTTTCAGGGCGGGGAATTTTGCAGAGTAGTTGGCAAGACAAGAACCATTGTACTACAAGAAACATTTTTCGTTTGTTCCTTTTACTGTCCCCCAAAAGTTCCAGCATAATTGCCCCGGATCCTATTCAAAAAATTTTTTTTTCAAGTTGCATTATTATTGTTTCATTATATGGTATTAAACAAAAAACAACTAGCTTTTAAACTGCAGGAGCTTTGCCATCAAGGCTTTAAGGACCATCCCTTCAATAGAAGTTGCAGATTTGGACACAAAATGAATCACAGAGACCTCCAAGGTGGGGCTTCACCTGATACTCGTTTCGTGAATAATACAGCACAAAATTCTCATGCAATGGAGTTATTGTAGAGCAGGAATTTTCCTGCTTTAGCTGTGCTTCATTGCAAGTTCCCAGATGTGGTTTAAATACTTTACTTAAAGTTGTCTAGACTGTGGCTTCTGTGGTAGGGGCCCTTTCAGCTAGGGATTGAGTCCCAACAAGTGTTGGTCCATAGACTCAAGAGGACACCATGGAATGCATCTTTGCTGTTCATCTCCTGCTGCTTATTGGTGGTGGAACGGCTAAATTTTGTAGACTAAGACTTGAAACCATGTGGATTTGGGTGAGCACATAGGATATTTAGAGTTGAAGGATTTAGACCAACAACATACCAGCTATCTATTCTACATCTGGCTGTCTCATTGATAATCTCTTTAAAAGGTATACACTTACAGTTTGTATATAAAAAAAAAACTTTTAAGATTTATAATAGCATCAAAAAGAATACTTACAGATAATCTAACCAGGGAGATAAGAAGTTTCTACACTGAAAACTGCAAACATTACTGAAAGAAATTAAAGAAGACACAAATAAATGAAAAGGCAACTCATGTTCATTGATTGGAAGATTTAATATGGTTAAGACGTCTATACCACCTGAAGTGAACTAAGATTCAGTACAATCCCTATCAAAATTCCAAGAGCATTTTCTGCAGAAATAGAAAATTTCACCTTAGAATTCATATGGAATCTCAAGGGACCCTAAATAGCCAAAACAATTTTGAAAAATAGCACACTTGGAGGACTCACACTTCCTGATTTCAAAACATATTGCAAAGCTACAATAATTGAAAGTGTGATACTGGCATAAAGACAGATAAATAGACCAATGGAATAGAATTGAGAGTCAAGAGATAAACCTTCATGTATGTGGTCAAATGATTTCCAATGTAAGACCACTCAGTGGGGAAAGGACAGTCTCTTTAACAAATGGTGTTGAGAAAACTGAATATCCACCTGTGAAAGAACCAAGTTGGACCCTTATTTTACACAATATACAAAATAACTGAAAAGTGGATTAAAGGCCTAAACTTAAGACCCCAAACTATAAAATTCCTGGGAGAAAACAGGAGAAATCCTCATGACGTTTGATTTGGCAGTAGTTTCTTGGGTATGACACAAAAAGCATAGGAGACAAGACCAAAAATAGACACCTGAGACTTCATCAATCTAGAAAGCTTTTGTGTACCAAAGGACACAACCAACAGAATGAAAAAGCAACTTGTGAAGTGGGAGAAAATATTTGCAAATCATATATCTGATAAGGGGTTAATATTCACACTATATAAAGAATTCCTACACTCAATTACAAAAAATCAAATAACCCCATTAAAAATTAGGCAAAAGACTTGAACAAATATTTCTTCAAAGATGATACACAAATGACTCAACAATATATGAAAAGGTGCTCAACATCATTGATCCTCACACTCACTAGGATGACTACTACTAAAAAAACAAACAGAAAATAAGAAGTGTTGAAGAGGATGTGGAGAAATTGGAACTCTTGTAGATGATTGGTGGGCTTGTGAAATGGTGCAACTGCTATGAAAAACAGTATAGAGGTTTCCTCAAAAAATTAAAAATAGGGGGCACCTGGGTGGCTCAGTGGTTAAGCATCTGACTCTTGATTTCAGCTCAGGTCTTGATCTCAGGGTCGTGAGGTCAAGCCCCACATTGGGGTCCATACTGGGCATGAAGCCTACTTAAAAAAAAAAAAAATAGAACTAATGTATTATCCAGAAATCCCACTTCTGGATAAGTATCCAAAAGAATTGAAAAGAGGTCTTGAAAAGATATTTGCACATCCATGTTCATAGCAGCACTATTCACAATAGCCCCCAAATGTCCATCATTGGATGAGTAGATAAACAAAATGTGGTTTATATATACAATGGATGTATTATTCAGCCTTAAAAAGGACAGAAATCCCATCGCACGTTACCCCATGGATGAACCTTGAGGACATTATGTTAAATGAAATAAGCCAGACATCAAATTATATGATCAAATATTGTATGATCCACTTAAATGAGGTAACTAAAGCAATCAAATTCATAGAAACATAAAGTAGAATGGTGGTTACCAGGGGGTGGGAGAGTAACGGAGAAGGGAAAGTATTTAGTGATTATAGAGTTTCGGTTTGACAAGATGAAAAAGTCCTGGAGATCTGTTTCACAACAATGTGAATATACTTCAACATAGTGAACTATACGCTTAAAAATAGTTAAAATGATAAATTTTATCTTACGTGTTTTTTTACCACAATAAAATAAGAATACTTAATTTAAAAATAAGCAAAACAGGCTTTTAGGAATAGAATAATTTGTAAAATAATTGTAAAACCTACTTGCCTCACTCAACAAGTTTAACCCTCTTTTGTGTATCTTGGCATTGCCATTGTTAGCACTGAATAATATAACATTTCTAGGAGTTGAGATGTATCCAGCTGTTTGTCCCTTCATCGAATGATGGGCAGATTGCTCTTTTGAATTCTTGTAGCTTCTTTTATACTGTTTCTGTCTCCTTCATCATGGTCTCCCATGAATGTCAGCTGTTAATGATTTTCTTCTCATAAATCCTAATAATATCTTTAGTCACCATGTGCCACACTTCCTCCAATTTATTGCTCTTAACAAGCTTGGTTACTGTCTCATATTCTTGGTTTTCTAGCCCACAAAAGGTTGGAATTGTACCTGATGTAAGGTAGATTGCCTCTGAATGACATGTGAATAGGTCTATGTAAGTAGAGTGTACAGGTGTCTATTACACTAACATTGTTCTATTGATTTATTTTGCATTCTTGTGTATTTTTATGTACGTTCTGGATATTTGATGTTGCCAGAGAAGAAGCTTCCATAGAGAGTGTATGCCAGTGAAAAAATATTTTTATGTAAACACATGTATGCATAATTACAGTTCATGCTCACGATTTAAAGAAACTGATAGCATTCTATTGCTGGAGAGATACCCATGTAAACAGATTTGGCAAGTAAGTCCCAGTTTAAAGGAAAATTATAGCTTTCTACTCACTGAACTGTACTAGGAGTATGATTGCTCCCTAACCCTTATGGAGAGGACAGTGCCTGCACGTGATCTTCTTGCTTGCTCTGTTTCTACTGCTCTCATCGGCAGTTCCACTAAGCGGGCCATAGCACAGCCTACAGGAGGCTGAGCAACTGTGCTCGCTCTTTTATACTGCACATGAGTTTTTAAGAGCTTTATTGAGGTATGATTTACATATCATAAAATGCACCTGTTTGAATGTGCAATTCAATTTTTAGCAAATTTACAGAGCGGTGCAACTCTCAGCACAATCCAATTTTAGAGCATTTCATGCACGTGGTATTTCAAAAAATATATTACCATGCTTTTTTCCTGCTATGTCTGAGTATCTGCTCTTCTCTGCAAAAAGCTATCTGCTTAAGAGGAATGATGATCCTTACAGGTAGAATGCAAAGAGAAAGATAATTACTAGTTAGATTCCAGTGGTCAAAATGAGAATTTCAAAGGAAAAAGTCAGGTTATTGCCTTGAGACAGGGCTCTCTAAATTCTTGTATTTCCCCTTTAATATGACCTACTAGGCCTGGAAGATAAAGTCATGGAGTTTGTTCATAGTACAGAGAAGATAACCTTTGTGCACCTTTAAAGCTAGGATGAAAAGGGGAATATTTAA